TCTCCTCTCCTCTCCTCTCCTCTCCTCTCTTCTCTTCTTCTCTTCCCTTCTGTCTTCTCCTCTCCTCTCCTCTCCTCTTTTTTGAGACAGGATCTCACTATGTAGTTCAGATTGGCCTTGAACTCACCATGGAGCCCAGACTGGCCTCACACTCCTGCCTCAGCCTCCCAAGTGCTGGGATCGTAGGAGTGCACCACCATGTCTGGCACCAACCCTTTATTTATTTATTTTGAGACAGACTCTTGCTAAGTTGGCCAGGCTGCATTTGAACTTGAGATCCTTCCACCTCATAGGAACAGTGTGGTGAACAGAAAGCCCACGGCTTTGAAATTCATCCTGGTTGTGCATGTGACCTGGGGCAAGTCCCATGACATCTGTGAAGCTCCTGGTCTGTAAAATGGGGAGGACCACTTACTTCTTATGACCATATCGGTCAGTTTCTTGGTGTGTGCTGTGATTACTAAGATTCTGCCTATAAACTATCCCTGGGGAGTACCCAAAGGCATTCACTCCCCAGGGCGTGTTTCAAAGGAGGAATTTCTTCAGTGGGCTCTGATTTCCTAGAGGTGGATGACACAGGCGGGGAAGCATCTCAGAGGGCTGGGTGGGTGTGGCTCGCCCCCAGCAGCAGTATAGAGGTCGGGCAGGCGGGGCTGTGCAGGGCCTCCTCTGCTTTCTTTGCTCGTCTGCAGGCTCCTTTGTATGCTGGGCAGGGGCCGCCGAGACTGAGCTTGCAACACTGGATTCCTGGCATTTGAAGGGGGGTCTAGCTATGGGGCCTGGCTTGTGGGACATCAGACATCTTGCAGAACCTTAGGGACCTCAGCCCATTCTGGCCCTCATTAAATGAACACTTGTGGGAGAAGTAGCATGTGAGATGTCCTTTGGAAGGCCCTGACCAGGCACAGGGTGTTGTTGCTCAAGACCCCAGATCATGATGGTGAGCAGGAGTCCGGCTGTCTGGCAGCCCGTGCCTAGCTGCTTTCTGTGGAGCCATCCAGCTTGGATTGAAAGGGGCAGAAAGAGCCCAGTTTCAGTGTTTGCTTCCTGTGTATCCAGTAATGTGCTGGTCTCTTCTTGATCTCGTAGGATTTCCTGGAAATGCACCGGCCTTCATCAGAACACACACATTTTCCTTCTCTGGATGGAAAGGGGGAGGGGGGACACAGCCACAAGCAAGAGTTGAAGCTGTAGAGGTTGTGGGGCTGCTTCATCCTTGTGGGACCTGGTGCCCTGTCCCCATTAGACCCTCCCAGGGGTCTGAGAACTCCATGAGGCAAATAGGGAGGTTCCCGTTCCCCAGTTGTGCTCGCCAAAGGACCCCTGGTCTGCCTCACGGCTGGGCCCACCCAAAGCCATTTCATGCTTTCATCCTCTGTGGATCCCATCTGTGCTGGCTGGGAGACTGGTGTGCAAAAGCAGATGCTCATGTTGCCTCCCGAAGATTGGCTTTTTGGGAACATTGTGACTTGTTCTTTTCTGTCAGCCCACTAGCCCATCTCAAAGACAGGCTCAGCCCCAGCCGGGCTCCCAACCTGTGCTTGTGCAAGCTGACCTAGAGAAGGGTTCCCTAAGGGCTGTGCTCAGGAGGCCTTGCTGGGAGGGGCCACTGGGGGATTCTGGTAAGTAGGTATAGCCTCTGGGCTTTGGCTGCTTCCCTGAGCAGTTGCCCTGGAGCCAGGAGGTGCCTGGGGAGCCCTGCGGTTCCTTGGTTCCTTGGTCCTCGGAAGGTCACAGAGGCCTGACCCCATTCCTCAGTGGGAGTACAGACAGGTCGGAGCCCTGCTGTGTGCAGACCTGAGCTCTCACTGTGTCGTCCCTCCACACTCCAGCATCTGGCTCACAGCCCTGCTGGACAGGGGGAGGGCTCCCCGCACACCCAGGTCAGGTCCCCGAGGCACTCGTGGACGTGCGGTCACTGGGCAAGCCTTCATTTGCTGGTGATGCTTCCGAGCTCCAGCTGACAGCTGTCCCGGTGAGGTTCTGAGGTGAGGTGGGAGCCAGACAGGTAGAGAGCAGTGCCCCAGTGCCGCGGCTGTCTGAGGGTGCTCAGCAGCGGGACTCCCTGCATTTTGAATCCTGTTGAACTTTTGGCCAGCTCGGCCTCCTGGTTCCATGGGAAATACTCCTAGAGTCTTGGCGACCTCTCCCGAATCACGTGTCCCCTGCAGAGCTGAGCCCAAAACCTGGTTTCCTTTTCTGACCTAGCTACCCTCGTAACGTGTGGCAGTGGTGGTGAATCTATGGGATGCGTGCTGCAGGCGGTTGTTCTTATTGAAAGCTCTGAAAGGTTTGCCGTCATGGTGTGTGGTATTTCTCTGCCTCAGTTTTAGCGCTCTGCCTGAGCAACTTCAGTTGTTCCTGAAGGGGCGCAGAGCTGCAGTGTTGTCCCTTTTGTGTCCACTCTCACCTTGGATGGACTTACTTCTCAAGTATCCTCCCTCCTTCCTCCCTTCCTT